AAGCTGGTGGTGACAACGTTCACCATGATGGCATCCTATGAAGGTGGCCATGTTGTGGACGGTGGCTCATAAGGATGAGTCGGAACGAGCGCGTGGCTAGTGAAGATGATAGAATGATTGCAAGTTTCAACATCAGTCTTAGTCATCCCCCGTCTTCAGGCTGTCGGACGTAATGCAGGTGTGTGCTTTACGGAAGCAAGTCTAGTTACATCCAAACCAAAAGCGGAAGCCGACATCTGAAGCCCACACTCAAAAATCTTCAGGACATCTAGGTTACTATGCCGTGCGGGTCGGTGACACAGAACACAATTCTGCTGGCAACATCAGAATGACTGAGGCCACCAGCCGGTAGCAACCCCACAGGAGTTCGGAGCTTTGTGGACTTTTCGAGACAATCTACGCCTTTCGAAGCCTGATCTACCATGCCTGCTATGTTGCAGCAGCCATGCCCGAAAGCAGCGATAATATTGAGATGGAGTGGCGCACGTTGATGCCCTTGGGCTTGCAGACGGTGTGGAGGTTGATGCTGTCCACAAGACCCTCGGGCGTATTCCTGGCCGGGGGCATTTTGGGACTTGGGAGTGAAACACCAGCTGGACACAGATTGTACGTGCATCCCAGCTCATGCCTGCTCTCATCATTGAATCCTTTGTTGCGCCTGGCTGTTGCTAATGTTCTACCATACTAGCCGTTGACTACCACAGTCTTTTTTCACTCTTAGTGCTGTTGCGATGAGGCTTACTTACGCCGCGAGGCAGCTTGCTAGTAGCATGACTATTCGTAGCAGTCATTCGTCGGCACTAGTTATTGATGAGTACCTTTCCAAGGTTTGCGGCCACATTCAACACTGCTTCTGTCACCACAATTGCATTTGTACTGCACTGCTGCTAGTTCTAGAACAGTCTACAACTCTGTTCTTAGTGCGAACATCTTACAGCACCACTATTCTGCTGCGGAGGAGGTCACCACAGTGGGCAAGCAGTGGGCAGCTGCAACGGAAGATGACACAGGAGCAGTGGCCACAGAACCGTCAACACAAGCAAAGCAGACACCGGAGTACGGCACAAGCAGCGCAGTCGCAAAACACAAACATAACTTGAAGCAAGCCGTAGACTCCATTTTCTGCCGCGGTGCATGCGGAGACTCAGATGCTTCTCGCTGTGGAACTCAAAACCGCTGAGGTAGTCTCCACCTATATGAACGAGCTGGATGTTGCAGGCAGGTTCCACTGGCCATAATGCTTGAGGTTCCGGTTGAAGATTTGAGGTCTAGGTGCCCAAGAACCAAAGGACCCAAGCTCCAAGATTCGAGTCTCGCAGAAGCGACTTCAAGGCATCGCCTTCGATACCGGGGCCATTAAGGCAGTAGTTGTCGGTGACAATGCAGCAAGCCCGCTGGTGGGAACAGTGGGAAACATCACTATGACAGCCAGCATCATGATCACCAAATTCTACCATCACCGTCATGATCGCGATCATGTCGAGGATAAACATCATCAATCATCCTCGTCGTCATGGAACTCATCACCACTGCCGTCACGATCAGGACAATCGCCACAAGCACCATCATCATGTCGGCCAGTCGGATCGTTCTGACCATCAGACCCATCCATCTGCATCGTCGTCCCCAGCATCCTCAAGGCCATCACATCATCATATTATTAGGAATATTCATCGTCATCGTCGTTATCATCATCATCAACAACATCATCACCATCAACAACAGCACCATCACAATCATTAAAATAATCTTCTTCGTCATCATCGTCCTTTCGCCACCCTAAGCCCCAAGCGCTAGAAGTGCCTATCCCTTTCAGCCCTCAAGAAACACCCTGAAAGCCCCAAACGCAGCATCAGCGGCCTCGGAGGCTACTCTTCGCATTTTTGGCCTAATTAGGGCTTAGGGAAACCCTGAAGAGGCTGGAATTCAACGATAACAAAACCCGATACTAGAGGCCTGAATAATTGGACTAAGTTCTAGTTGGGGGCGAGGAAATTGTACAACAAACCTCTAAACCCGCAGCCTTCGAGCAGAGAGACCGAAGAGTTCTTGCCCACGCTGCTCCAATTTCCCTTGGCACTGGTCTTGCCTGCCAGCTATAAGGGCTTCTCTATGAGCTGCTACAGGGTCAACTGAGGACCAACTTTACTAACCCCTCTAAATTTACGCTGAACGTAAGAACCCATAACGTTTCCCGGCTGCTTGGGGGAACCATGACTCTTCCAGAGCCACCACCCTCAAGGGAGTCGGAAAGCCCGAAAGCTCTCTTAGCGACGGACCCAGGTAGCTTAGAGACTCGAGATCCATTGGGTGAGAACGTTATATCACTACCGTCATGTTACTATTGCGACTAGCATTACTTTTACTATTGCCACTATTATCGTTCATATTCTTGTTCCACATTAGTCTGATATACTGTAACCATTAATGTTATCATTCTTGGTATTATCATGGTTCTCATCTATTGCCGTTACTGCAACTATCTCTACTATTCCTCTTACTACTATGGCTACGGCTATTTGTTGCTGTAGGTATTACTATGGTTCTTATTGACGTTATAAATCACGCAATTGCTGAAGATACTTGCTACTGCCTACGAAAACCACTAAGAAGACGACGACGGCCACTATTCCGACTACCAAAAACTAAAACATCTTTCAAAGACTGTTACTACTGTTACCACTGACGACGACCAGGTCGTCGAGACGACGAGGTCGTCGAGACGACGACGACGACGACTACTGCTAGTGCTACCACTACCACTACCACTACCACCACCACTACCACTACCACCACTACCACTACTACTACTACTACTACTACTACTACTACTACTACTAGTACCACTACCACTACCACTACCACTACTACTACTACTACTACTACTACTACTACTACTACTAATGCTACTAATGCTAGTCGGTACAATTACTATTGCCAACCGAGTACTGTATTTCTCATTGCCAGATGTGCTTAGAGGGCTGAGAGGGTTTGAGAAGAGATACCCCTTGGCAGTGGCATGAAGGTCCCTTGCTGACATCCGGAGAACATCTTGGGCCTCATCATCAAATCTGCATTTCTATCATGTGTCGACCCCAGAACCCTCCCCACTCGATCACGGACATAGGCCAATAGAGTGCAGCTACATTGCTAAAAGCCCAACGAAAGCCTGAAAAGCTTGTATCCTCAAGTCAAGCAGTAAAGCCTTCAACGTTGAGACAGGGGGCGGCGCCACTGGCAGTCTTTCGCCGTAAGTTCCATGGCTTGCCTGAAGCCCTCATTCGAGCGATCCACCAGCAGCAGACCTCTGCGGTTTAAAATTAGGGCTTCAGAGCCTAGGGCGAAAAGCGCGGTAGAGAGAAGAGAGTGTAAGGCGTCTATTCCGGGGTTTTCTGCTCGAACTCGTAAGTTTCTTGGCTCGTGGCCTCAGCTCTGAGTTAGGATCTCAGCCTTGCCAAGAGGGTTCAGCTGCCCCTGAGCCGAAAACGAAAGGTTCCGAGCCTGGGGTTTCCTCGAGTCCTAGGTTTAGAGTGAGTCCCGACCCTTCCGTTTCTGCCTTGGGCCGTCCAGGTCGGTCCGCCGTAGTGTGCGAACATCTGCCAGTCGATGAGGCCTCTGCGACCCAGGCATACCCAGGCAAGTTTAGCGGCTTAGGAGGTTGAGGTCTGTGGATGAAGAACCTTCGAATCACAGGAGGTCCAGCACTGGATTGCTTCGGGGCGAAGCTTTGAAGTTCGGAGGGTTGAGATGGTGGGCCTTAACCAGGCGCACAAGAGTTGTGGAGTTTGCTTTGCTACGACTACACAGTTTATCTAGAGGTGCTGGGGAATCAGGGTCCCCTACGCCTCTGAGCATATGCAGCTCCCTCATCCGCAAACCCTAATCCTGGACCCCTGGCGAAACTCCATGCGCCGGGATGCCGGTTTTGGGTTTGTCCTGACATCGAGGCACTGCCAGACACTCAGAATAGACACACATAGTTTTGTAGTAGTAGTAGTAGTAGTAGTAGCAGCAGTAGTAGTAGTAGTAGTAGTAGTAGTAGTAGTAGTATTAGCAGGAGAAGTAAAAGTAGCAGTAGCAGTAGCAGTAGCAGTAGTAGTAGTAGTAGTAGTAGTAGTAGGAGTAGCAGTAGCAGTAGCAGTAGCAGTAGCAGGAGCAGTAGCAGTAGCAGTAACAGTAGCAGTAGCAGTAGCAGTAGCAGTAGCAGTAGCAGTAGGAGTAGTAGTAGGAGTAGTAGTAGTAGTAGTAGTGGTAGTGGAAGTGGTAGTAGTAGTAGTAGTAGTAGTAGTAGCAGCAAGTCAAAAAAAAACAGGTAGCAGGTGCAGTTAGTGGCTAGTAGCT